TGAGAAAGGGGCTCTGTATTCGAAGTTGCGAGTGAATGATCGAGAGGTAGTATGTTTGATAGATACAGGGGCGGCCGTGTCGTTAATAGATAAGAATTTATGTAAGAGTGTTAGCCCGTGTTCATTGACAGTACAAACAGTAGGCGGGTATGTGTTGCGTATCACGGGTAGATCGAACTGTACGGTCGTTGTTGGTGGCTGCGAGGTGACGTTTCCTTTCATTGTTGTACCCGAACTACAGCGAACGATATTAGGAGCGGATTTTCTGCGTGAGATTGGTGCAATAATCGACACACAAGCGAACGTGGTGATCACGAAATACGGGCATATCAACATGTATGAGACCAGCGAGATAGCAGCGATTAAGCCGTCGACGGTACACAATGTGACAGAGTTAATTAATAAATACGATCATCTGTTCACTGGAGATGGCGACCCATATGGTTATTGCGATAAGGTGAATCATGAAATTCCGTTAAGTGATCCGAAAGTAAGGTCATTTTTAACGCGAAGAGTTCCATGTCATCTGGAAGGCGAAGTGGAGCGACAAGTGCAAGAGATGTTAAAAGATGACATTATTGAGGAAGCTGATAGCCCATACAACTCTCCAGTGCTGTTAGTAAAAAAAGCGAATGGGAAGTATAGATTCTGTGTTGATTTTCGACAGTTAAACAGTATGACAGAGTTAAGACCGTGTGCCATGCCAACAGTGGTAGAAACCTTAGATCGCCTACAAGGTGCGAATGTGTTTTCGATTCTCGATCTTCGCTCAGGATACTGGCAGATACCGATAAAACAAGGTGATAGAGATAAGACGGCTTTCATCGTGGGACAGACACAATATCGATTTAAACGCATGCCGTTTGGACTAGCAGGTGCACCGTTTACGTTCAGACGACTGATGAAGCTATTACTTAGGAACTTGAAAAACGTGGAGGTTTATGGTGATGATCTCGTCATATACAGTCAAAACGAAAACGATCACGTCAACCATGTAGAAGCCGTGCTGCGACGCATCGAAGAGTTTGGACTACGCGTCAACAAAACCAAGTCCCAGATAGCCAAAAAGAATGTTACTCTGTTGGGACATAAAGTGGGAAATGGTGAGATTAAACCACTGCCGGAGAAAATTTTGACGATTAAAACGATTCCAGCCCCGAATTCAAAGAGAAAACTGAGACAATTCTTGGGTAGAGCAGCGTTTTATAGTCGCTTCGTGAAGAACTTCAATGAGATAGCAGCCCCTCTATACAGGCTACTAGGTGAGCCGAAGTTTGTTTGGTCGGAAGAATCGCAGAGGACATTCGACAGAATTAAACAGCTGCTCGACCACCAAGAAATGACGCTAAAACTACCTGTGCCAGGAAGACAGTTCACAGTGTGCACAGATGCCAGTGACTACGCTATAGGTGCGGTCCTAAGACAGGACGAGGGAATCGTTGAGTATGCCAGTAGGGTTTTGACCCTCACAGAGAGAAAGTATTCAACGATAGAGAAAGAATGTTTAGCAATGGTATGGGCAGTCGACAAATGGAGACCTTATTTACTCGGCCGGCGGTTCCACATCGAAACTGATCATAAGCCGCTACAATTTTTGAAGACAGCGAGAGACCCACGGGGGAAGTTGTCACGGTGGATGTTGCGTCTTCAGGAGTACGATTTTACGATCTCACACGTTCCTGGAAGTGAAAATGTCTTGGCAGATTTGTTATCGAGACCAGAAGATGAGTCTGAGTTGCCCGAGGTCGCTTACGGAGTGCATGCAGTAGAACAAGACCCACTAAGACTTGCACGTAGGCAGAGGTTGGACGATACGCTGAATACAGTAATACAGGTGATCACCAACGGAATAGAAGTGGATCAAACTACGGCGAGTAAGGAGCTAACCACACTACTCAGACAGAGGGATCGACTCAGAGTGAATGCCTACGGGACTCTGACCTGGCGAGAGAACGACGGAAGCTGGCTGGCTGTCATACCTCAATCGTCGCGCCACGACATGATAGAAGAATGTCACCAGCTAGCGCATACAGGCATGGCCAGAACGACCGACCTCCTAAGACAAAGTATGTACTGGCCAGGTATGAGAGAAGACGTAGCAAGATACGTACTTGGATGTCCACGGTGCCAGCTGATGAAAGGTGACCGGTATATACGACCACCACTTCAGTCGATTCCAGTTACCGCGATAGGTGACTTGTGGTCCGTAGATGTCATGGGTCCATTTCCTCAGACATCCAATGGTAATCAGTACCTCTTGGTGATGACGGAACACGCGACACGATGGGTAGACGCCGTAGCAATCCCAGACCAACGTGCAAGAACCGTGACAGATGCAGTAGTTAGACACATTGTTGCAGACCACGGCGTACCGAAGACAATACTGACAGACCAAGGTCCCTGTTTCGAGAGTGAAGAGTTTACTTCCCGTTTGCAACAGCTGGGCATCAAGAGGATCAGAACGACCCCATACCATCCACAAACGAATGGCCTAACGGAGAGAAACAACCGTACACTGAAGGAGTGGCTGGCCTCGAAGGGCGGGAACTGGGAAACGGAGCTTCCACTGATTTTACTAACACATCGGGCTACCACTCAGGAAACAACGAAGAAGTCACCCTTCCAACTGATGTATGGTAGAAAACCACGATTACCGGTACACAATGAGACCTGGCCCATGCACCAAAAGTGGAGTACGACGAAATTAAAAGCAGAGAGGAAAGAGGCAGTCAAGAATGTAATACGGAAGCAGCGCAGTGATGTCGCGAAGTCTCAGATGAAAGAAAGGACGCAGTGCATTACCTTTGCAGTCGGGGACCAAGTGAAGTGTAGAGACAGGAGATATACAGTTGGAGGCGGGCTAGGTTCACGGAAACTCCTTCCGAAGTGGGAAGGACCATACACAATCACAAAAAGACGGGGTCAAGTATATACCCTCCGAAGAGGTGATAAAAGGAAACGAGTTAACGCCAGTCAGCTCCAAAGATGGGTACAGTGGGACAAGCCGGTCAGTAACAATCCTCAACTAGAGGATGTAGCACCCAGAAGGTCGGAACGTCTGCGCACGAAGCTATTTGACGGGGGGACGAGTGTGGTGAGAGCAAGCTGCTAGCCGATTGGTTGACACTAATCTACGTTAATGTCTAGGTCACTAATATGGGCCGTGAGAAAATATGAACAAGGCTGTTTCAACAACCAATCACAGCAAACTTAAATGTGGACAAATATGATTCGCAGATAGATGGCTCTACTTTCCGAGAAATATTGAAAACAACCAATAATAAGACTTTGTTTGTCTGCTTAACTTCCGAGAAACAACCAATCAGAAGACTGCCTTTTTCTGCTTGCATAAGCCTCATTAATGCACATAAAATATATATAAATACGTGTTGATTTTCGTAATAAAACGATCTGTTGCCAGCCCTTGTCTTCTGTTGTTACATTTGTACGCCTTTAAGCGAAGGCTGGACAACCATGCAGCGATACAAGGACTGCATCCAAATGGCCTATCTCCTTAAAATCGCATATACCAATCAGGGTAGATAATTAAACTCGTCATTTTACATACCTCACACTACAAACCACATATAATAAATCCCAGCACTACTCCCTTTGGAGTCAACCAAAGCTACGACAGTAGAGTGGCGGGACAAGCTACGCGGAAGTTTACCGAAGATCAGGAACCTATACCTCACAATCAAGAAGCGAGCACAAAGAAATCAAATTGGTTTATACTAGCTCGTAAAAACGATATTGGATATTGGATATTGAACCTTGAGTCTTCGCGCCTAAGTCAACTTGTTACGTACTCCACAAACTTTTCTCGTTGCTATAGTCTTTCGCTCTGCTCGCAGGATTGTTCCCCCTTTGTGGTTTAGTGTGGGCTGTTGGGCAGTGTGTTCGCTTTCCTGTTTTTCAGGTGAAGCTGCCTCCGAGCTTCAGTTGTCACAATTTGTCCGATGAGGTCAGTTTCAGTCCGTTCGTTATGTAACATGTATATATAAGCAAACGCAAGTGTTTGATCAATTAAATTTAACTAATTAAGCACTTGCATTCACTATGTTTATTCTTTATAAGTTACCGCAATAATATAAGAGGATGAACGCCCATTATTGTCTGTCTTTTATCCCTCTTAGCGAATCTAAGCGCGGAAGGAGATCTATCATGGGTCTTCTAGACCTAACAAACATCATTGATTCCTCACCAGAAAGTGCCGACTCGGGTGGAACTCTCAGAAGGTCCTTGAGATTACGCCGCAAATCCATACCTGCAGCGTCCCTTGGTGGACAAACACACCCATCTAAAAGATATGGTCGAAAGTCAGTGATTAATCCGCAAACTCATGTAAGTGCGTCTGCTACGTTGAATAAGTCGCCTATGTTTATTTTTTTTCATTCCTTCACAGTCCCAGTGGAACAAAGGGCCTCCAGCTTGAGGCTTGAAGTTTCTGTAGCAGCGTTGATTTTTACAGGATGGGGTCCCCAGCAGAATGGCAAGGATTTAATACTAAACACATGTTCAACGTCAAATTACTTTGGGTGTGCAAGAATGAAAATAAGTCAGCACACCAATATAAGACGACAGCACGTGGGAATACTGAAGACTTTGAATGGAAATTACATACAAGTCTTAGATGTTTAATTTTTAAGCTCTTGTTGAAGATTAATGCCTGGAAAGGAAGATAAAGTAGGAAATTGCCACTGACACGATCCATACCAAGAATCAGCTTTTCTGCAACCAATGGTACAGACGACTTTAACTTCACAGGCATTTACGTCAAGCCTTCTTATGCTTCGTCTTGCTTACAAATATGTCGTTAATTGCATTTTGAACGCTCCAGTGTTCATGGAGCTCTCCCTTACACAGAATGCATACTTCTAACAGTTTAGAGCTACTATCGTATGTGACACCATTCAAAAAGTCATAAGATATTCCCTCAGAGTAAATCTCTGATGATTCCTGGATCTGAAATCTTATTTTCCCTACTCAATAAATCATACATGCGCATAAGTCAAGGGGGTTCAAGGTGTCACACTTACTCTTACCTAATGCACCACATTGCTCCCTCACTTGCATTAACCGCCAGACCAATATCCAATGCCCAAAATCGATCTTTACGAGCTATTGTAAGCCAATTTGACTTCTTTGTGTTCGCTTTTTGGTAGTGAAGTAAACTTTCGCGGTCCTCAGGAAGCTCCTTCGCAGTTCGTCCCGCCACTCGACTAATGTAGCCTTGGCTGACTCCCAGAAGATTGGTGGGGAGACTAGTTTATGTCGCAGCTGTTATTTTCTGAGTATTGGGTTTGCTATCCTTATGTCCAATCCTAACTCCTTAGCAGTTGTAATAATGGCTTATCGTATTAAAGGTGTACGTCGGTTAGGTTTGAAACCCGATGCACATCAGTGGTCGGAGAGCATTCTGCCTCTGTGCTACTAACGGTCTGTGTTTATGTTATCACTGTTTAGTAATCTTTGTTCTCCATACTGCTTCATTTCAGATTTCCCAAACTGAAACTTCAGTAAAAAGACAAGGTATTTATTTATCGGATTCACCGTATTGGATATCCATAACACACTACCTTATTGGTCTTGTTTCTCATTCGAATGTAGTCTGTGTTGGCATTGTTCATAGTTGGCTGATGGATTTGTTAGCTATATCAAAGTCTACTACGATTATTCGTCACGTTTTCTATGTGCGAATTTTTCAGTGCTTCTGTTTTAAGATGTAACAACTGGTAGTCCTTTTCAACGATAAATCAAAATATTGAAAGTAATGCGGTATAGGTCATGTGAAAAAATGGACCACCATGTTATCATTTTAACGTATGCACTGTCTTTGATTACATAGATGAATTACATGTCTGTTAATTTACGTATATCAGTTCTGATATATATATATATATCCGATTTCAAATAGTTATTCCATTCGTTAACCGTCGCTAGCTTTCGCGAAATCGCTCACTTCTGTCCACTTTGAGTACCCAGTCGCCTTGTGTGAGAACCAAGCATTTTGATTTAGTTGTCATTGATATAAATAGCCCCTTTCTCCTCGTCTCTCCTTGTTCATCAGTCGTACAAATCTATAGTGCACATTTAAGTTGGTTTTCCGTTAGTCTGTGTGACGGTTCGAGCACATGCTCATTTGAACTTCATTGTCTTGCTCTAAGATATGCTCGGCGTGCACCTCTTGTAGATTGAATTTTGTTGATGTATCATATTGTATTTCAAAAGCCACTATTTTCGTCGTCTTGGTTCTCGAATAAATAGGACGTACAAACTGAATAGCTATTAGCTAGGTACATCAGAGTATGCTTTACATTGCTAGTATCTTCAACTATGTGTAATATATGGTACTAATCCACACTTAAATTAATATTCTTTTTTTGTAGACGAATGCAGTTTATGACGCATCGTGCAATTCTTCTCATTCGCCTGCCCAAAATGAAAATAATATGCCATTTACGGATATTTCTGCACAGTCATGCTTTACTGCGTCACCTGATAAGATATCTGTCTTATCGCAAGATAAATTGGAAAATGTCAGACCTCAAAGTCCTCTGCACATACCATCAGACATTGCAAATGTCTATCTTCCTAATAAGTATACGCCCCCAAAACACAGGGGTTTGCCAACTATTTTCGAAAATTCAGTTGAAAAAAATCAACGCTCCCATAAGTTATGCAGAAACACTGAACGTTCCCCCTTAAGAAGGCAGATATTTACAGGACTAACACTCGAAGAAGCATGCAACCCTACAGGTCCCGGCGTCGCCCCTCTGGATCGAGATCTTGTCTTATCAACAACACGCAAGCGTGTCGCACAGCGCCGAAAGCTTGCCAAGAAGTTAGGATTTAAAGGCATTACCATATCCAAAAAAACTGAGAAAAACTTCAGCAAATTCGTTTTAGAATCAGCTTTAAATTCTTCTCAAAGTAGTTCAACTTCTGATTGAGTGGAGAAAACTTTCGTAGACTCCTCTGTGTAAGAGTCTGTTTCACTCCCTACTGCATCTTTCAATAAAATATATTGTATTAGGTTTTTTAAATGTATATTTACCGCTTTGTTCCTGTACATCTATGGCATTTTACTGTTTGTGGAAAGATTTTATATTTATGTACCATTAACTTTAACTGTTTTTAACTTCCTATTGTACAGTAAACACTTGATTGATACGGTAAACTAAACCTTGTTTTAACCGAAATATTTGCTTCTCACTTTTGCCGTTTAGACCTACGGCTAATTGATTAAGGTGCTTGGATTTCAGCCACTGGTGTGTGAACTCGAACCGAACCAACCCTTGGATGTAACTAATGAACGTGTGTAATTAAATGCAAGTGGTTGTTGAGCAATCTCCCTCTTCCAAGACTGAACATTAAAATCTACGCGAAAAGATCCAAATAACGTAAGGGTTGTTTGGACATTTGAAAATTGAGAAAATATCTGCAATTGTTCGCAGTAAAGCTTAAGTGACTTTCTTAAAGTTACATAGTGACTTGTCGTTGTTAAACATTGTCATTTAAAAGATCTGGTCTTGCTTACATTATACGTCTGCTTTTTTAATTATGTTAAGGTGAAACAACAATCGGATCATGATAAAATGATATTAGTTGATTTTCTGTTTTAAAGAAACTGATTATGAATTGAAGTAGTTGCAGTATGAGAATATGAGGACCAAATACTTCAACATAACAGGAAAGTACTGACCCCATAATTAAAAACTGCAGAATCTTTATGAATGTTTGATCAGCATATGGTAAAGTTGTCTAGGTATTGATATAAATACCTTGAGCATTGAAGTTAATGGCATGAGTTAATGTGCAGTTCAACTTAGATTTCTCGTTTTACTAGTTTGTGTTGCCAATCTTTTCCTAATATGGTAATTTTTTTCTTTTTTAGTAGTGCTTTTTGTGAATATATTTCATAATTAATTGTTCTCTTTGTTCCCTACTCGGCATTACTATGAGCTCCACTCATGTCGTTTTGCTAGCGTAATTTCCTTCTATTCATCAAGTGGTAGATATCTTAATTTGTTTATACATTTTTGGCTCTACGAACGTTTTGATTGCAACGATCTTCGTTCAGCTTTTCATAATGTAGGCATTCTTATAAATAGCTCTGTTCACTTCCCTACTCAGGTTTCAGTCAATAATTTTCTGTGAATTACAATTTGTGGATATTTCTTACTTATTTTGATAAAGTCAACTAAGAAAGTGTCGAAATTGTATTAACTTTTAATCTTAGAAGTTGGGTATTACTAATCAGTAAAATACAACAGAAATTTCCTAAAGTATTGCTTCTAATCCTTATTTCATACAGGCAATAAGAGTAGTGACCAAATACTAACTGTCGTTTTTCTAGTGCAAAGAAATTACTCCAATATTTTCATCCCTTGTAATGCGTGTTGTAAGAAGACATTAGGTGACTCATTCCCAATTGTTTGTGTATTTACCATTTAATTGTTAACAAAAAGAAAACATTTCAGGCATATCTTAGCAAGTTTTGATTTAAGTCATTGAGAAGTAACTTCACAATCTGAAAAAAAATAACCACGTGACAGCTGTAGTAACTCAAAGCATTATTCACTATTGTAGTTGACTCACACTGCAACTGAATGTTCGTCTTCTCGGAGTATGCGATAGTCGGTATAAAGGTGAATGATGGACCTCTGTCAATTTGAGATATATAGCGCCAGCCAATGACATCGGCGAGTATTTGATTGCCACTTATGGTTTAATTTAGGTCACCATGTGTGGTCAGAATAATTTAGATATCCTAAACGAACTGTGGTGAAATCTTGTCTCGAAATGTGCACCTGCCTGAATTCGAACTTTCTGATAATGAGCCTTTTTTCAACATGTGCCATTTTTTTTACTTTTTGCACATTGGCTAAGCACAGCGCTCGGTTAAATCGGAGAACGTTATTTGTATCTCTTCCACAAATCCTGTTACTAATCAAGACGTCAAAGACAAGATCTCACTGTTGACAACTTGGACACGTATTCACTCGCTCCTGTAGACTGATGTACATGAACCGTACCAACAATTGTCTGTGTTGTACGGTAACGACAGAAGACAAGGGAATTTAATAACGGAATTATTTATTGGCAAGTCGATACACAATTATAGGCAAAATACGTATGTATTAGAATCACAATTTGTATATATGTTCCATAGTGTGCGTCTTTGTCTTCGTTTCATGTTTTCCATGTTGTTTCACAAGCATCATTCCTTAAATCCATCTCTCTGCTAGTCGAAATTCTTGCAGATGACACACATATTCAAGTATGCATCTATGTACTACTTATAAATCCTGTCAGTAGCACACGCCACACTGCTTACCTATTTCCAATCCCCATACTGTATGAACTAGTAAATACTATTTATCTGGTCACTTTACCACTTGAAACCAATTTGATTTTGCTTACGTAGTCATATATATGTCAGAAAATTTATTCGTCACATGTCTATCTAATAATATTACGACAACAACTCATAATTTTTAAGGACATGAATAGTATTTTTTAAGAAGAAGAATCTTTGTTCAGACAAACTTATGAGGTTTATAGCCATGGTATTTAAATATCCCATTGAGTGGAAGATGGCTATGTAGGATTCATTAATTTACCCATACATCAAAGGTATGATTACATCAGCATTCACAAATCATTATATTATTATCCTACCTTGGACATAGAATTGCCAACAGATATCGCCTTAAACATTTCAGTGCTTTTCTTCAGTTTAATGTTTCATATGTATGATATGTTTTGTTATGGATTAGGTTGGTGATCCGTCACCTATCTTTATCGAGACTCGCGAATTTGAGTGAAGTGCCGTCCGTCCTATTTGGGATTTTTCAGCCAGTAGTAGATTTGCATTAAAGGAGTTAAATAACTATTAGATTTACTATTAGATTAGATGAATAATTTAACGAACGAATTGTAATCAGAATGCACATAAGAACAAAGGAAAATATGGAATTATCTAAGATTTCTAAAGAAATACACGAGTTATAAGGAGTTACAAAAACAAACAAAACTCAAGACAATAGAAACCAAGAAGGTTGTTACCATAATAGTAGAAGTGGTTGAATGGTTGTATTTTGTACGCATGGCTCCAGTGTTTTCTACTTGAATGACTAAGGCCTCAACAATGCAAAG